CAGGGTTGTAGTACTAAATTTGATTTTTAAATAATGTATATCACATACTATATGCGATAAAATTTGTACTTAATAGCTGTCAAACATTAGAATTAGAAGAAGAAACACACGTTCAGACTTTGACTTTTCTCCCTGTTACCTTTAGGAGGCCATCTTGCCAAAGTTATCTGGGATACCTTTGTGGCTCCCATAAGAGTCTGGATCTATATGCTGAAGAGGAAGAGGAAATAATAATAGTTGATCTTTAATATAATAAACATTTATTGAATACGCTATAGAGGGCCCTGTGCTAAACATTTTATGTGTATTATCCCATTTAGTTCTCATCCCCACGTAATAGATGAGGAAACTGAAGCTCAGAATGTTTATGTAACTTGATCAGGGTTACAAAGCTGGGATTTGAGCCAGGTGTCCAACTCCAAAGGCCACATTTAGGACACTCTGCCATACAGTAAGTTAGTCCCCACTTAACGTTGTAAATCGGTTCTGCGACTTTTAAGCGAAACATCTCATCAAAACTACATTGAACAGAACGATGTTATTCGAGGACCTGCTGTACCCTAGGATCTGTAGCATCTTCAGCCTGTATCCCACATTTTCAATTGAAAGCCAGAATTTCTACATCATTTTCCCTTGTCTGCCACTAATTGTCTTTGGATGAGGCACTTAACCTCAGCTGCAAAGTAAAAGTTGGTCTAGATAATCTAATATGCTAAGACCCTAAGCTTGTTTCTCTAGTGTCTGTGAAATTGGAGATAAAGGATCTGTTCACAAGAAGTGTTTTTTCACATCCAGTCACACCTCACCAATAAAGTAATGAAGTAATGGTTTATTTCGCCTCTCTCAACAGCCCACCCCACCACATCCAGATTCTCGACTTGTCCCTTTGTCTGTGTGCTTCTACCACAGGTAGAGTATGGGGACTTGGAGAGGCCCATCCCACCAGGCTCTGGGGGCACACTCCCTTCCAAGGCTCAGCATCACCTACAGCAGGTCCTAGACAGGTTCTACCCAAGGCGCTACAGACACGGGGCACCTCCTGAACAGCTGAGGTAGGTTGCAAGGTCTTGTGGGGAATTGCTGTGGGGAGACATGGTCTGTGGACTTGGGGAAGGCCTCAGAGCTGTGAAGAAATGGCACTTCACTGGCACCATTTCTCTCCATCTGTCCAAACCAGGCACCTGGCAGATCAGCTGACCACAAAATGGGCAGCACTGCAAGGCTGCTCCCCTCCAGAGTGCATCCGCATCTACCTGACGGTGGCCCGGAAGTGGCCTTTTTTTGGTGCTAAGCTCTTTGCTGCTCAGGTAAGTGCGAGTGGTTTCCACACAAAAAAAGGAATGCCCTAAGCAGCTCCTGGAGTTATTGTCACTATCTTGTCATGTTTGATCCAGTCTGCAGCGCCCGCCTGCACACTAGCAACCACCAGGGGTCGCTATCTCTCCACCCATTTCTGGCCTACTCCCTATTTCCATGGTCCAGAGCAGTTATTCATCTTGGGCCAGGATTATTTCTGGGTGACCCTCATCTTTTCTTTATTGGCTTCTTCCTCAGTGCTAACGCTGGGGAAAAAAAGAATCAGCTAATCATAAAGGCATATAGCAAGGGGCCCCACCTTAGCCTGGAAATTTTGAGAATGCCTCTGAAAAAGGTGACATGTCAGTTTCTCTCCCCAGCCTTTCAGGTAGGAGGGCTGGGAAATCTGGATTGCCCTACTGCAGCCCTGGCAGTGAAAACTGGTCATTCAGGAGTTGTCTACCAAATAGTCACTTTTCTCACTGGTAGGGCCTAGAGCCCATTTTTGCTTTCCTATTTCTTTTACAGTCTCTAGGAAATTGGTTGAAGCAAGATGCACTTCAGCTTGGAGAGACTGTGTGTGGAATGCTGTCAGTTTCTGAGAGCTAGGAGAAAACAGCCTGTTCCCTATACCCATGACAGAGCAGCCAGGGCTTCCCAACCAGTGTGCTGTGGCAGGATGGCCTATCGGTACTCCATCCCACCTGGGGATTATCAGTAGGAAAACAGAGCCCAAAGGCCAGATACCGCCTGTCTGTTTACTCCAGCGTGCTGTACAAATACCACCTTTTGTTTTCCAAAATGAGAAAAGGTTGGAGATCAGCCTAGCAGATCCCTGGATGTGTCTTCTTCCTCAGAAAGGTTATAGTTCAGAATCCCTAGCTGTGGATATGTCTGATGAGATTTTCCTGTTTCCCCAGCCTGTGCAGCTGTTTTCCAAGGAGAACACTCTGGTGTGGATTGCTGTGAATGAGGATGGTGTCAGCATCCTGGACCACAACACTATGGTATGGAAGGATGAGGACTGGCTCCCTGACCTCCTCCTCCTGAAGTGTCTTTTCTTCTCTCTGGACTCAAAGGCCTGAGCTAAGTGACCATGGTCCTCTTACCCCCACCCCCTGCCCAAGCACTGCTGTTCTCTAGTGTGGACACAGCTTGTAGACACTGAAGATGTAGATCTCCCGATTATGACTTCAGAGTTCTCCCTCCATGCTGAAGGCTATCTGTGCTTAGAAGAGACAGGGGATGCTGGTTCCTAGCCCAAAAGGCAAGTAGAAAGTTTTCCCAGAACTAACCGGCTCTTTCCCACAGCAAGTGCATGTCACTTACCCCTACTCTTCACTGATGACCTTTGGTGGCTGCCGGGATGACTTCATGCTTGTGATTAGATCCATTCCAGACCAGAGCTCTGGAAAAGGCCATGTTGAAAAGTTGATCTTCCGGATGGCTGTTCCCAAGGTAGGTGTGAGAGCTGCTAAAAGATTTCTCTCTGATCTAGTTGAAGAGGTGGGCTTGAGCTTAGAAAGGAAGCTGCGGGTATGACATTGTTCGATAAGGGCTGTGCCCCAAATAAAACTTTTGGCCTTGTCTCTAATCAGTACTCCAAAGGGTTCAGGCGGAGTTGCATTTCAGGTCTCAGTAGTTACTGCTGAGCTGGCAGGTGAGGGGCTGGCTGGGGAGGGAATCACTCTGGTCCAGCTACTCCTACACTCTTCACATGATCTGTTTTAGTTCTCAAACCTCAGCACCATGAGGCTGGCGTCAGGTGCCCTCTTGCTGTCCTTGCAGCAGGCCCGGGGCAGCTTCCTTCTCAGGATGCTCTCACCTCATCCTGGGCTCTGCTGTCCCAGCACTAACTGGCACAATCTACATATGCTCCCCTTTCCTTGTGGTCTCGAAGACCATCCAAAGACCTCTTTTTCTTTAAGGGCTTTGTTCCTACTCAGTACAGGAAACACTGACCAGCAAAAATGGCAATTCCAAAGGCTCAGAAACCTAAGTCCTGATTTATAGTTCTGACTCCTCGGAGTAACTGGAAACCCTGTTTTAATCCTAAAGCTGGAGTTTGCCAAACCTCTTCCTCTTTCAAATACTGCCCCTGCCAAAGGAGAGGATATACAGACCCCTTCCTCCAGGGAGACCCCCATCCTAGCTTGGAGCAAACCACACCAAACGTCACTCCTCCTATTGATAGGGAGGTACTATGCCTCTCAGAGGACCGCCAGACCAATGGCACCCATTTAATTGGGCCTCTGAACCTCACAGTAATGATCCCCTTTGGACATTTTCTCCTGGGTGGGTATTTTAAGAGATGAAGAAACTGAAGCCCAGGAAGGTTGTGTACCCAGTATAACAGCTAGTAAGTAAGAAAGCCAGGATTCAGGCCAAGGCTGGTTCAATTCCTTTGTTTCTCTATCGTCTCTTTAAGATTGCAGAAGCTACTTTCATCATGGCCAGCTACATGAACCACTGCTCTGCAACTGTGAATGCACCCACCAACCCGCCTGCTGCCCGCAAGCCATGGGAACTGGATGGACAACAGTTCTTTGCTCCCGTTCCATGTGCTACCAAGAGGCCAACATTGCTGTGAATATTTCTCCTCCTGCTTCCTCACCACCGCCTCTGGGACTGAAGAAATGTATCCTGGAGCATGATACTACTGTGATGGGTCTAATAGCCCTCTCCTGAGCCTCCACCCTTGTTTGTTCTGTGAAATGTATATTTTTCAGTGTCCATGAAGACTTTACTGTCTAGGTGCCTTATAATGTTTCAGGGCCCACCTTTGAGGATTCCAGAGTATAAAAACCACTCTTTTTTCCCCCGCAAGAATACTGAGCTCTGGATGCTGCTTGCTTGTAGACACAGACAGAGAAGTCCACTGCTACTGGTTACTGAGGGCATCAGAGCTGTAAGTCAGAGCTTTCCCCACTGATACTCTCAGGGATGCTAATTTTTTTTTTATATTGTATATGGTCCTTATGTGAGGATTTATACTTGAAGTCTTCCCAACATTCCTGAATAAGATGGGACTAAAATTTCCAATTCACCTGAACTGACAAAAGCCTAGAATTCAGTAGAACTAGACTTCCTTTTCCTGGGAAAGGTGTTGGCAGGGATAGAGAAAAAGACTCATCTTTCCCCTTCTCCCGCTACAAATGAGTAGGCATTTGCAGTGCCTCTTCTGGGGTAGCAGCTCCTACCTCTGCAGGACAAGGCACTCTCCCTGCTGAGACTGAAGCTGTTCTCACTCACACTGGACTCTAAGCCCAACTGGGTACAAGCACGGCAGGAGGTAGGTCCAGCCTGACCTCTCCACGCCTCATTTTAACTGGACAGGGCTCAGTGAAGGCTGTGCTCACTACTGTAGGACGAGGTGGTCGTCACTTGTTTCCTTGCCCATTTCCCAAGCAAACACTCCGCTTTTTGCTGCTCTGTGAGGCCACCAAAGACGAATCAGAAACAGAAGACCCCTCCGGGCTTGTGGGCCTGGATTAGTTCAAGACTTCCGGTGAACTTCTGGGAATTAGTTTGAGGGCAGAGGGCACATATGTGATATCTGTCCTAGCCTAACAGCATTCCTTTAGCTTTCCTAATGATACCAATATCCCACCCCATCCCCAACTGAGACCTTCTGTTGAGTGCAGAGGAGATGATCTTTGTTTCCACCCTTCCCTTAACAAAAAAAGATGAGAGTTCATCCGTACTGATTTTCCAACATTGGAGAAACTGAGTTTTATTTCACAGCTCTAAGGCAGTCTTACCATTTATCAATAAAGTGCTGAAAACTGAATTTAGCAGGAACATCCAAGAACCAAGCCTTTAACCCCAACAAAGTGTGTGTGTTGCACACTGCAAAACTGCAAAGCTGGAACTAGTTGAAGTGAACACCTCAGCTGCTGTAGGAACCCTTCTCTCATCCCTTAAACTGACAAGCATGATGAAAAGAAGCACGTCAGCGTGTTTGCCTCTTTCATATGAACTCAACTTTGCAAGGCTGGTAATTTTACAACCATCTCCCATTTCTGTTCCTGCTTTTCTCTCAGGATTTGGGATCTAGCTGAGACATTTCTACCTCGAACGAGTCAATGTACCACAGGTTCCTGAAGAACCCTTCTCCAGGGCTGGTGTAAAAGGCAGAAATTATACCTCTGGTTTTGTAATATCTTGAGTGTCTCTAAGGCCAATGAGGATATTATCTACTTGGGAGTTTTAAAAAAATTAAGATCCCAAAGAAAAGTAAGCAAGAATGGAGCTGAGTTCATGTTGAATTTGGGGGCCATGGTATTTCCCCCACCCTGTCTCCTTCCCAACCCTTCAGGAATCCTCCCTTAGGTTGTGAATACAGAAGACACTGCCTTATAAACAAAAGCTTCTATAGTTTGCATGTTTATCCTTCTTTAAAATATCTGGAAATAAAGTCAACTTCTGTCTGGCCTTCTGTCTCATCCCTCTTTGCAAAAGAAGTTTTCGAAACCATAAATAATGCTGAGTAATAGAAGAGTATTAATGTGTTTGTTACCCATGACTGAAATGCCACATTCATGTTTGTCAATAAAAGCAGCTGTCTGTGAATCAGGCAATTATCGTGTATGTTTTGGAGGGAGAGCTGTTTATTAAGAGTGTCATCATAAACTCACCCTGTACAGACACAGGAGCTAAGTGGACAGAGACTAGTCTTGTGCAGGACATTTCTTCCTTCTAACTAGTACCTAAAGGGCTTAACTTTTTTCCTTAACTTTTATACGGGGTACTGTGCAGTTGGAAATTGTCTTTCTCAAGAGGTCTGATGTCAGTTTCCCATTGTCTTGCTCCACAAATTTCAACAAAAAGTAAACTTGAATGTGCTTAGGAATTTCACAAAGTATTCTTTGTCAGCATAACTTTTGACATCATTTCTTAAGGTCTCCCCTCAGTCAACTAAGCAAAACCTTACAAGAGGAGCACTGAAATACACAGAAATACTTTGCTCAACATCACACAATGACTTAGGTTTCCAGTCACCTGCTCTATGGCTCTATGGCATCCGTCCTGGTTTCTAGGACTGTGCCCACCTGATGGTTTAGAATACAGAAAATACACCAGCCCCTAGGGTTTAGGAGTCATTTCCCATGGAAGACAATACTGGCCTTCTGAATGCTGGGACTCATGGGCTTGTGGATGTGGCTTTCTGGTATGCCAGGATCTCCTGGCAGCTCCTGTACACTTCAATCAAGCAGTCCAGCCGGGGCTTGGCACTCTGAATTCCAAAGGGGAGAAATGCACAGTCAAGATGAATGTAAGAGAGTGCTTAGTAGTGCTGCATCCATGTGCAACCTCAATCTCACCCACATCAAGGGGTCTACACGGCACAGGTGTGAGCTCAGAAAGGCCGAGGTTCAGGCCTCATAGCACCTTCTTGGAAGGAGTCCCTAACTAGGCCAATAGCCCAGCCTGTGAATTGTGCAAAGCGGGAGCTCAAAAGACAGTTTTTAATCTGTCTAAATTTCATGATCTCCATCTAAGAGCAAGCAAGAGGAATAATAAGGACAGACCCTCTTGGGAAATGTCACAAGCTGTGAAACGGTCCTCGGACACAGGAAGGGCAGTTTAATGTGTAAATATTGAAAAATATTTTGTATAACATAATACAACCAAAATTAAAAGCCGCAGGACGGGGGCGGAAAAATATACATGGAAAGCATATTTAATAAAAGTTTGCTACCAAAAGATATAAATTGTTACAAATGGGCATGACTAATATTTAGATTCTACTTGGCTAATAGAGGAGATACTGATAATTTAAAATGAGGAAATACTAATAGGTAAATAACAAGGAAATATGAAAAATCTCTTAAAGATACAAATTTAATGACTATAAATTCCTTTACCTACATACTAAACTAAAAAATAGCTAAACTCACTGTTAGCCAGGACTAGAAAAACAAGCACAAATTCCCCAAAGTATGGTAAAGTTGTCCAGTATCTGGAGCCAAATTTCAAATACTGTAAAAATCTGTGAAACTTCACAAGCTTTAATAAAATAATTTTGAACTATAATGCAAAAGAATTTTTGCTTAGCTGCCTTAAATTTTGTGTGAAAAAGGGCAGTGAGGCAGCGTTAACTGCATACATAAATTACTTTGTATACCTATAAATTAATTTATTATAAATAATAAATTAATCAATTTATTATAATTAATAAATTAACTATAATTAATTTATAATTAATTTTTTTGTAAGAGCAAAACAATAACCCAGATGTGACTTCAAAAGCTAGCAACAGAATAGCTAAATAGATATTTGACATTATATAATTATTTAAAATAATAATATAATGACCTTTGTAGATGCATATAAATATGCACATTAGATTTAAAAAGCAAGATACAAAATAGTGTATAACTATGTGTAGATTGGTAACATGTATGTAAAATCATATTGGTAGACTGACAGTCAAAGTAGATGGTGATTTTTAGGCAGAAATCGCTATTTGGTTTTTCCCCAAAACGTGTATAAATTCATAGTGTTTCTGAAGGCCTAAAGCTGCTTCAACAAGGAGCTTCTGAAATAACTAAAAATCTTAAAATTGCTGTCAAATACCCTCAAATACTCCTCACAACAAAAGTTTACATTCCTACTGAACGTAAGTAGCAGTGGATACGCAGAGAGGAGGGACAGGTAAAGAGGACTTCTTTGGAGAAGAAACTTAAGTGTTCTGTGCTCACCTGGAAGACGGGTACTACTTGGGATATCCCATGTGGTTCCACCGGATCCTTCAATAAAATGCAGAGGTAGTAAATCACCTTCTGCTGTAAGAAAATAAACCAAATAGTAGAGATCTAAATGAAATTCACTGTTTTCTTTTTCTTTAAGGGAAGGCTCAAAACTTTTAATAAATGGTTATCTCTAAGTAATAGAACACTTGAAGGCTTTCGAAGTGATGGAGAAGTATATTCTCCATTCTTCATTCCTTTAAATGAAGAAAGACAAAATAACAGCAACAACCAGAGATGATTCTGAAGCTGTGCCAGAAAATAGAGTAGAAATGCTGACTCCTTAAACTTTAAGTTTCACTTTTATGGTTTATAGACATGCCAGTCAAAAAGGAAACACTACAAGTACTGGAACAGAGAGTCCTCAAGTTTAATTCTGTGACATGAAATACTTTAGGTATTCAGATAGTTTAGATCTAGGCACATCCCAGAGAAGCTACCTCCTCCAGTACTTAAGTACTTACCATGTAAATAGCCTCATTAATGATAACATCTTTCACTTTGCCCATCTCAATGAAGGTAGTGCTTTCTTTGCCAGAGGCATAGGATGAAGTCATCTGGATGCCAAGGGAATCAATGATTAACAGAGTCTCCTGATCAATCTTCACAAAATGGAGGTAACCAAGCAGGCCTAAGAGGGTGACGAAGATGGCAGCAGAGAGGATCATGCTGTTCTGAAGAGAGAGCCAGACACAGGCGGTAAGATTACCATGTGGTCCTCCGCATATATCTGATGTATAATAAGTCAACTCTAGGCAATGCAGGAAAAAAGTCTTTGTTCTGCTGTGAGTTGAACAGTTGAGAGGAACATGCATGGAGGAATCGGAAATCGCTTTTATCTGTGCTTTGTAGTGCTATGAAAGCATATGATGAAATACATCCAGACAACAAATGGATAGGTCCGGGAAAGAGAACCTCCATCAGCGAAATATCCACATTCATACTACTCAAGAGGTTTTTCTTCCAATATTGCAATTTAAGGACTTGGACCTTTTCCTCTCACGCTCCCTCAGCAGATTATATAACGCAAAATCATAGACTGAACGATAATAAAATGCTTAGCACAGTGTAAAAGATACTACTCAACAACCACTCCTCTTTCCTAATAGAACTTGGAGTGAATCATGATTGGTTCCCACTCCTGCCAGTGGTTTACGAATGAACACATGACAGAATTCTGGCCAATGAGATGTGAGGGGAGGTCTGCTGGAGGGGTTCCTGGAAAACTAAGTCCATCTTAAAAAGAGATTTAAGGAAGATAAGGTGCCTTCATCCTGAGGTTTTGACACCTGGAACTGCTATGGACCATGTGGAAAGCTAGGCTGAGGGAAGGAGAGTACACCAAGATGAAAAGAAACAAAATCTACTGAGCCTTTTATGCCCTCTAGAACCCTCCCACCTTCTGATTTCTTGTTTTGTTAAATAATTACCATTTAGGGCTCTTTTAGTTGTTTGGGGTTGTGACTGACATATTATGGCTGACAGATTTGCTGATATGACTAACTGATGTGTTAGGGGCTCAAAAATGGTATTTATTCCTTTGATTCTAAGACATTTACAACATTTTATCATCTCTAACACGTTGAAATGTGTATTGATGTATGTTTCGTTCGTGACATTGTTTTCTTTTTTCCAAAAAGCTATATTGTATAGAAGGATGGCACTAGAAAAAAATCATTAATGACCTAGAATCAAAAGAGATTCAGTAATTTATGACTGTCATTCCTTGAGGGCAGGAAGTATTTTATTATTCTCTGAATAAAATCTGTTTTTACCACTTTACTGACTGGCTCTGGTTTTCTTTTAAAGTACCCTTCTACTTCCTTCTACCGCACACATACTTAGTGTTAGATCAGAGGTCTGCAAATTATTTGGGCCTATGGTCTATTTTTGTCTGGTTTACCTTGAGCTAAGCATGGTTTTTACATTTTTTAAAGAGTTGTTAAAAGAAAAAGAAAGGAAAGGGGAAGGGGAAGGAAAGGGGAAGGGAAGGGGAAGGGGAAGGGAAGGGAAGGAGAAAGAAAAAGAAACAGAAGAATCTGAGACAGAACTATAAAGCATAAAGTATTTACTATTTGGCCTTTTAAATAAGAAGTTTGATAATCCTAACGAATGGAGGATGGAGAAATCTATGTGCTGGATGTCCGATATTCCAGAATTATCTACTTTGAGTTAATTAAATGCCTAATATCTAATACAGTGTCTTATACATAGTTTACACTAAATAAGAATCATAGAAGAACGGAGGGAAATAAAGTTCAGTCCTGGCCTTTACAGATTTATTAGAGGCAAAATTAATTCATGTATAATATATATTTGAAGAATACTATGATACTGACTACATTACATGCCTAAGAAAAGATTATAGGGCAGCAGGGATTAAAGCACATGTCCCATGAAGACTTCCAAGGAAGCAGGATTTAATTGGTGCCGATGACGTGGTGGTTACTGATGCATATATTTAGTTAAGAAAAGGAAGGGGGAAGAATAACATTCCAGGCTGGAAAAAAATCAGATAAAAACTTGGAATTTTAATAGAACTGTGAATTCAAAAACTGGAAGGAAGAAGGGATAAAGAGCAGTAACAAGGGAATTTGATTCATATCAGCTTTTCAAGAAGGTAATTCTTGACCCAAACTTCATTGTTACCTACATTTTTTTATACTTCATTTTTCTAACAATTCGATATTCATTTAGGTTGAAGTTAAGCCATATTTTAATAAATTCCTTCATCAAATTTCTTCTCACTCCTAGTTGAGATCCATTACTCTGATGAATAGTTTTGAATAGGAGGAAAGATAAGAAATTTTGGTTCATAAAGCCCTTAAGAAGTATTGCAGTGAAGTTTAAAGAAAGATGAGGTTACTGAGTCCTGGGCACTTGATAAAGTTAAGTGGTAGTATATATCATGAAGAAAGAGACGAGTACAAAAGGGAGCTGGCATAAAAACAAACTCCTCTATTTAAAAATTTTGCTTAAGCAAACCCTAAGGAGAAGACATCATAGTTTAGTGTAAAATAAAGGGTTTCAGAGACAAACAACCCTGGGTTTGAAGCCCAGGTATGCCATTTACTAGTTTTGCGACTTTGGATAAGCTATTACTCTTTCTGAGCCTTAGTTTTCTTCTAAGGCTGAAATGAGGCATTCGGTAAAGCAGCTGGCACTCAGTGGGCATTTAATAAACATGTTTCCTCTTCCCCACATGACCACATGGCGGGAATTCAGGCTAGTATTAAAATTCAATTTATTATAAGTTAAATCTTTTGGGGGGAGGGGGAAGGACTGTCCTGGCAACTTAACCATTTCAACTGACTTTATGAACAAACTTTTAGATACAATTTGGTACAATTAGGGCAGTCTTAATTATGCATACATCTATGCTAAATTACCATGCTCTGAAATTCGATCCGCGGGAGCTAATGGATGCAGTAATGGAAGCAATATCCAAATTACAGAAATAAATAGCCCTGGGGTACTTAACTCTGATCAGATCACTCCTGGAATAATATATCCAATTCAGGGCACTACATACGAAGCTAAACTCATTCTGGAAAGGGCAATTAGTATGACTCCTTTATTTGAGGGCTGTCACAAAACTACTGTATATGACCTTCATAATACGGTGAAGCTGTCATGGCAGATATTCCATTTTAAAAGTACCTGATGTTGGGAAAGCGGTTGAGAGGAGGTGGAATTAGATTGCCTTGAAAAAGCTTTTAAATAACTTGTGTGTATATATACACATGCTACAGACACAGTGGAGGCAAAGGCACTTTCTGGAATACTATATATTAGGCATTGTTAGCGGTGATTCCTCTGAGGAGTGGAAGTGATGGATGAGAACGATCCACTTAATAGTTCTCTAAACCCTTGGAAATGAATTACTATGACCATGTACTATATAAAGCACATGGAAGTTAAAGTTTTAGGCTGTCGTGCAAGGGATAGAGGTAGGCTGGGTGGAACCACATAGAGCAGTGACCCTTGAGAGAGACAAAGTACAGAAAGAAGCACAAATTTCGCTAAACGTAATGAAAAGAGCTGTCCAGCAGCGGAATGGCGTCTCCAGAAACAGCGAGTTCCCGCCCTCCGCCCCTAGGACTGTAGGAGGGTCCAGCGAGAGGTCCGGGCTCCACCCCAAGACCCCAAAGATCCTTCCAAACCCGAGTCCCCGACTCCCACCGCGGGAAGGGGCCGACCGGCCATTACCTCGCAGAGGGTAAAGAGTCCGTAGGCTGCTAGCCACACGGTGCAGGTGACAGCGGTGAGCAAGCGCAACGAGAGCCGAGGGGAGCTGAGGCAGAACTCCCGGCAGGATGGGGAGTAGTAGCGGCGCTGCAGGGCCAGGCGGCCGCCGCAAATATCCAAGAAGCTCATCTTGTCCTCCATGACCGGCTCGCCCCAACCCGCCAGTCCGACCGCTCTAGCCGCCCGACGGTGTCTTCTCGCCGGCTCTGAACCCACTTCCGGAGAGCGGGATTGGCCCCGCCCCGGCCCAAGCTCTGCGCAGCCTCAGTTCTGCACCGAGGGCCCGTGGCGCTGTCTTGGAGGTTAGGGTTTTTGCTCTCCGGCTAGGCTCGGGTTCTAGGATTGTCTACTTCAGATCGTTGGGGGCCAGCAACTCATCGGACAGATTAAAGTTGCTATTAACGTTCTCCTGCCCAATAAATTGATTTCTATTGCTAAGCCAGAGTACGTCCCAAGGAGACAGTCCACAGGTATTCATTCTCATGCATCCATTTCTGGGCCAGGTAGTTTCAGGTACTGAGAACACAGCAAAGAACAATATTGACAATGTCTCTGCCTTCAAGTAGCTTCCTTCCTAGTAAGAGAAACAATGTGGAAATAATTTAAGAGAGTGCTGTCGGCAATAATATGACCGGCAGGGATGGCTCAGGGACTTTCAACAGGGCAGTCAGGAAAGCATCTCTGAGGAAAGACACTGGAACTACAAGGATGAGGAGCCAGACTGGTCTGGGGGAGCTCTAGAGGAGGGATTCGCCAGGAAAGGCGATCAGGAAAATCAAAGCCCCTGAGGCTGGAACAAGGTTGGCTTATTGGAGGTATCAAAAGGTCGGAGAGGCTGACGCATGGCTTATGCAGTTGGAAGTTGGGGAGGTAGGTAGAGAGGTCAGATTCAGGAAAGTCTTCTAGGGCCTGTTAAGGAGTTTAGATTTCACTGCCTGAGAGTTCTCTCTTCCAAACTACTTTGTAGAGCACTGAGTAGGCAGACAAGTCCTAGCTGGGAGGTGAGCAAGAGTGGAAGACGCAGAAGGTATGGATAATAAAATTAAACTCATGAGTAACTATGGCCTGTGGGTTCTCTCTCCTCTGATGTGGCCCAAGAGTCTGTGTGGCTTGTTAAGAGTTATGGTGCTTCAACCCTGAAGCAGCAGCATGTATTTAAATAACTAATACCTTTGTGTATAAAGATATATGGCCTAATGGTCTCACCAACTTTAAGACGCTCTGATGAAATTCAGGTTCAGTTTTTCCATCTTCATCCGGGATTTTGGTTTCCTTTTTTTTCCCCCTAAAGGATTGTATTCAACTATTGCTTTGTTTTTCCAGTTTCTGTACCCTGAATCTTACCAAGCAACAGACATCTCTCATTTTTGTAAATATCATATGATGTATTTTATCATTATGAAGGAGATGTTTGTTTATTGTGGAACATTTGAAAAATACAGAAAGGAAGAAAAGTGTAAACCTCCCATATGTCCACCACTCAGAATTAAACACTGTTGATGTTTTGAGGAAACCTCTAGTCCTGGAGTTCTTAAAGCTATGCTCTAAGGGTAAAAACCAGAGTTTCATCTTTAGTTTCTTTAACTTCTAATTGAAATTTAACATTCTTTTGATTATGAATGTAGGTAACAAATTAATTGGTATTAGCAATACTTGTGATTTTTGTCACTGATAGAAACCAGATATTTTCCTTTCGCAATAATTGTTAGTTACCTCAAAATGTCATTTCCACTCATTACTACTTGAAAATTGCAGTAATTAGTAGACCCGCTACCAAATCTTGTTATTTAATGTGTCACTAGAGACACGTATTACTATAACATTTAAAAAATATTTTCATAACTATTTGTTTTTTTTAACTCTATATTTTATTCATTTAAAAACATTATTGTAATAAGGGGTTCATTAGATTTACCAGAGTTGCAAAGGTCTGTTTTAAATTATTAGGGATAAATACTGTGGTAATAGAATTCCAAAATCTTTATAACCATTTTGCTCTGTCAGATCACAGGATCATCTTAATTATGTTATACAGTTCAGCACCTCAAGTTTCTCTGAGGAAGTTTAATATCTTTTTGCAGGATCACCGAAGGAATCTTACAAATAATTCCCTAGTAAATTCAATTGTGGAGAAGCAGAGGAAGGAAGCATAAGAAACATATGTACTCAGTATTTGTCAAGGTAAGCTAACTGCTATTAAAGAAAAAAAAAAAAACAATTTCAGTGTGTATTGTCTATCTACAATTCCATTTGAGTGCTCCTGGTCAGGTTACTCGTACTTTTGCCAAGTGGTGGTTCAGACACCCCAGGCTCCTTCAGTCTAATGGCTTCATCATCCCTTGGGGCCTCCTTAATGTCCTCTTCACTGGATCCTCTGCATCTGGCCAAAAGATGAGAGGCAAGAATGGAAGATTGTGCATGGGAGGATTAAGCCTTCCAACTACATTCCATTGGCCAGAACTCATTAACATGGCTCCGTGTAACTTCAAAGGAGGCTGAGGAACATGGCCTATCAGTATGCCCAGTGGGGAGAGAGAAATGTTTTGGTGAACTAGACAGTCTGCTATACTTTCCAAAATGTTCGGGCTACAAGAACCAGGACATATATTTGAGTGAATAGAGCATCGTGGTGACAGTACACAGGATTAATCTGACTTACTTTGAGAAGATGGGTAATTATTTCTACTGTTGAAGTTATTCTTAGAACCCGAGTATCTCTTAATATCAATAATAAGAAAAAAATCGAATGAAAAGATTCAGTTAACTTTTAATTTTTGTGGCCCATGCTGTATGCTTAAACCCTTCTATAGAACCTTTTAGTATTTGCTTATACTTATGGATTAAAAGTTTGTTCTAAGAAAACTGTCTTATAGTGTAGTTTTATTCTATTTACTTTTTTTATGATATAGCATTAATGATTGCTGCTACTGTGTTAACTGAGAGTAGGTCTTCTTTATAGGACCACTTACCCGTAGGGGAGGAAAAGTAAAGGCTCATATAAATTAAAAGAAATCTCAAAAAGGCTTTTAAAAAGATAAATATTGCCAATCGTACCTCAATTTTTTAAAAAGGCAAATGAAAACTTATAAAACTTGTTGCAGTTTAGTGAAATCAATCAATAAATTTAGTTTGCACAAAAAAGTATAATACATTTCATTTTGCCCTGTTTAGAATTCCATTCCGATTTATCTATATAGTGTTTGTGAGTGAATCTCTTTACTCAGGTTTTTTAGTTGTTGCTCTAGTTTCACATTATACATACACATCTGTTTTAGAAAAAAACTGTCTTCTTCCTGTGTTTTTTCTTTACTCTCATACTGCTACCACACTTCTGACACCAAATGTATTATACATTTAACGCAGTTCTGACACTATCTACCTGGAGATGGTGTCAGATCCCACAGGTTAAGGACTCATTCCCACAAGACTGCTCACCACTTGGCTGCATGTCAGAGGTTCCCATGATCTCCTCCCCCTGGATTCGATTATTAGCTAGAACAGCTCACAGAACTCAGGGAAACACTCACTTACGTTTACAAGTTTATTACATAATAAAGGATGTGATAAAAGATACAGATTAACAGCTAAATGAAGAAATACATAGGGTGAGGTCTTGGAGGGTCCGCAGTGCAGGAGCTTCTGTCATATGGAGTTGGGATTCATTATCCTCCCAGTACATGGATGTGTTCACCCACTTGGAAGCTCTCCAAACCCTGTACTTTGGGGATTTTATGGAGGCTTCACAGACGCATGATCTATTATTAACTCCATTTCCAACCCCTTTTCTCTCTCTGGAGGATGGAGAGTGGAGCTGAAAATTCTAAGCTTCTAATCAGGGCTTGGTCTTTCTGGTGAACAGCTTTACTGGGGAGCCATCCAGGAGCCCACCTAGAGTCACCTCATTAGAATAAAAACACTGTTCTCACGCAATTCCAAGGGATTTAGGTACTCTGTGTCAGGGACTGGGGTCAATAACCAAATATTAGAATAAAAGATGTATCCAGTGCTATTATCACTTAGGAAATTACAGAGTTTTAGAAGCTTTGCTAGGAACCAAGAAGCAGAGACCAATACATATTTTCTATTATCTCACAACAACTTACCACAGTTTACTGGTACCAACATTTTACCAATTCAAGCAAAGTATAGATATCTTGCCTCCCTTTATGTCCCTTTACCCTTCCCTCATTTATAATTGGCTTAATGTTTCCTCCACATTTATCGAGACCCACATCAGACAATGACATAATTTTTACTTCAAACATAATTAGAAAACTCAAGGGAAGTCTATTGTGTTTACTCATATTTTCTCTTGTTCCATTGTTCTTTCTTCCTTTTTGATGTTCCAAAATTCCTTCTTTTATCATTTTCTTTCTGTTCAGAGGACTTCCTTTGCCCATTCTTTTAAGGTGGGTGTACTGGTGATGAATTCTCTTAGTTTTCCTTCATCTGAGAATGTCTCGATTTTCTCTTCATTTCTGAAGGACATTTTCACTGGATATAGAATTCTGAGTTGACAGTTTTCTTTTGCACTTGGAAAATATTGTGCACTTCCTTCTGGCCTCCATGGTTTCTAATGGGAAATCTATCATTTGAATTATTTTTCTTTATAGGTAAGGTATTGTTCCTTCATTATCACTTTCAAGATCTTTTTTATGTCTTTAGTTTTCAGAAGTTTGACTATTATATACCTTGGTATGATTTTCTTTGGGTTCATCTTGTTTGAGTTTTGCTCAACTTCTTGAATCTGTTAAGTTTATATTTTGCTAAATTTGGGGAATTTTAAACCATTATTTCTTCTTTCTTTTTTTCCTCTTTTTTTTTTTACAGCCTCACTCTCCTTCTGGGATTCAAATGATGCTGTTGTTAGATATTTTTGTTTGTTTGTTATAGTCCCACAGGTCCCTGAAGCTCTGTTCATCACTGCCCCCCACCCTGCCAAGTCTGTTTTCTCTCTGTTGATCAGATCAGGTAATTTCTATTGTTCTAGCTTCAGGTTCACTGACTCTTTCTTGTGTCTTCTCCATTCTGTTGTTGAGCCCATACACTGAAGTTGTTGTTTTTTTTTCAGTTATTATATTTTTTCATTCTAAAATTTCCATTTGGTTCATCTTAATATCTCCTATTTTTTACTAAGATTATTCTTTTTCATTTGTATGGAATGTCTTTGTAATTGCTTGTTGAAGCAATTTATGATGGCTGCTTTAAAATCCTTGACAGATAACTCTAACATCTGTATCACCTCAGTGTTGGCATCTGTTCGTTGTCTGTTGTCATTCAAGTTGAGACTTTTGTGGTTTTTGGTATGATAAATGATTTTTGATTGAAGCCTGGACATTTTGGATATTATGGCTCTGGATCTTACTTAAATTTTCTGTTATAGCAGGACTTCACTGACACTGACTGTTCCAGGGGAGGAAGAAGAGCACAACCACATTACTGCAAAGTAGAGGTGGAAGTCAAAATTCTCCAATTGGCCTCCATTGACACCTGGTAGGGAGATGTTTCTTCTAACTTATGCGGGGGTGTGTGTGTGTGTGTGTGTGTTGGAATTTCAGGCTTCCCCCATATTCTCCACTGTTTGGCACTGGGGGAAGCTATTACCACTCAGCAGGGCTGAAAGTCCTGTTCATCACTCAGCCTTCTCTGATACCTCCCCAGGACAAGGTGCCTTTTTACAGCCTGGGGACAGTAGAAATCTAGGTTCCTCAAGTGGCCTTTGCTGGCAGGGTTGAGGGTGGGGCTGCAGTTTTTCCTGCAGTGTTTGGCTGGAGTAGAGTAGTTAGAGTCTAAAAGTTTTCTGTTTTCCTAGGCTGCTCCTTACTTTGTCCTTTGGGTAGAGACAGCAGGTTTCTGTAGAGCTTTCCTGGTTGCTGTCTTCTCCAGCACCCAGTCTGGGATGTCCAAGGCAAAAAGAAAACCCAGGGAATACACCACGGAATCATTCCGTGATCCCTGGCCGGTCTCCCTCCTCTCCATTTTCGAGAGTCATCTTATGTTTGTTTTATATAAAATGACCAAAAGTTTTAGCTGTTCTTAGTGGGAAGGATAGGGGAAAGTATGTCTACTCCTTCTTTCAGAAGCAGAATTTTCATCATCTATCCATTTAAAAAAATTTTTTCAGTGAGGTATTATCATTCGTGCGGTAAAATTTACAGTCTATGCCTTACCTTTTCATACTCTTAATGGTGTCCTTTGATGAAGAGAGGTTCTAATTTTAATGAAGTCTGATGTATCAATTTTTTCTTTTTTGGTTAGTGCTGTTTTATGTCCTGTTTAAAAACTTTGCCTGCCTCAAGTTCATGAAAATATTCTATTTATTTTTTTCCTAGAAGTTTTATTGTTTTACTTTTCATATTTAGGCCTGTGATCCATTTTGAATTAATTTTTGTTTGATTTGAGGTAAAAGTCAAGGTTCTTTTTGTTTCCTAGCAGCATTTGTTAAAGAGACCATCCTTTCCCCTACTGATTGCAGTGGTGCCTTTGTGGTAAAGCAAATGACTACATTTGTGTTAGTCTGTTTCCAGACCTTTTCTGTTCTGTTGGTCTATTTTGTTCTTCCTTGTGCCAAGATCAACCTGTATCAATTGCCACAGCTTTATAGTAGATTTTGATTTCTCATAGTGTTGTCTTCCACCTTTGTTCTTTTTCTTCAAGATTGGTTCTTTGTATTTTACCAAAAATCCTGTTTGGATTTCATTGAATCTATGAATTTAGGGAGAACTGACATGTTAACTATGTTGAATCTTCCAGCCCGTGAACCTGGTATATCTCTCCATTTATTTAGGTCTTCTCTAATTTCTCTCAGCAATATTTTCTACTTGTCTTGCACATCTTTCATTAGACATATTTCTAGGTTATTTGATGTTTTTGATACTCTTATAAATTATATATATTTTAAACTTTATTACCTATCCATTTTTATTTTTTTAATTTTTATTTATTTATATTTTCTTCCATCTACAGCACCTGGTCTTCTTAGGTGGTCTCCCATCCAATTACTAACCAGGCCCAACCCTGCTTAGCTTCCGAGATCAGACAATATCAGGCGTGTTCAGGGTGGTATGGCCATAGCCTGTCCATTTTTAATAAGATGTTTATTATTTTACCAACAACATCAAATTGAAATTTTACTTAAAGTATACATGTGTAATCTTGCCACCTAAACAAATCAATTTTTTCAATTATTTGGGTTCCTTAGTTTTAATGTTTTTATTGTTAAAAAGATTATCTAATATAGAAAATTTTTGAATGAGAAAAAATTACACACAGTCCTTTCAGATTTATATAATACTGTTTCATCATGTCTTAATTTTTGCACTTAAAAAAATTATTAGTCATAATATTGTGGATAAAAAGGAGAGCTCTGTAATAAATCTGACCAAAAGTAACCTCACAGGGTGATCTGATCTAGGCAAGTCACAGTGAATAGTCATGCCCCAGGCCTATAAAGTAAAAGGCTTATCTGTGTCTTAAACAAGCCCTGTCCATTGTTTTTGTGCATCCAGGTTAACATACCTTAGAAAGGCCTCTTTTTCAGATCTCTCAGAAGCTTAACCACCTCAAGAGAACACATCTTGGTAACTATCCTGTTGTTCATTATCTTCTGAGTTTTTTTTTTTTTTTTAACTTATAAACTGGATTGGATCCTGAATTCTAGTTTCCTCTAATATCTGGCTATGACTTTCCAAACTAATGTTTCCAATTTTTCTCCCATGCTTTGAGTTGGAATCTTTAACTAAAACTGCCCTTTTCCCAAAGCCAAGCAAATTGAAATGAAATGACTTGATACAAACTTCAGAGAAATCGCCACAACAGCTCATATATGGACAATCTTTGTGCCTGTTATAGAACGATCACCAGATCACCATTTAAATTGAAGACCAAAATAATCTATCAGACTGCCTGCCTTTACTCCATCTGAAGATGATTCAAGACAGACATCTAGGAATGTTGACTGCCTGCCTTCAGAACTCAGAAACCAGCGTTATAGTCTGCTTCGATCATTAAACCTTTGTTTTTCTTTTGTTTCCTTAGAGATACCTTTTATTAAATACCTGATTGCTTGCACCATAGGCTTAACCTTGGGAACCCACCGTCATTACTGCTTCCTGAAATGAGACATAACTGTTTAACTGAACTTTTCTTAAGACTGAGAATGGTTTACTGAGATATAGAACAACTGATCAACCCCATGTGAAGCATCCAGGGAATTTTCAGAGGAGGGAACTGTAGGGATTCAGAATGAGCCACCCAAAGATCCCGCTTCACTCAAGCCACAAAGTGCCTGTAGCTGGTTGACAGGCAGCCTCCTCCGCCCTGCCTTTCTTTGGGGTTGCGCAGTCTGCACAGGCAACAAATGAGCCACTCCAAGATGTGCCTGTATGGTATACAAATTATTTTGAGCTAAAGGTTACTGAGACTCTACAGGCTCAAGAGAAACTTCTGTCCCCAACAGTATAAACTTACAAGTAAATTATATTAAAAACAAAGCTAATATACACTTAAAACCTATCATTGCCTAATTATTTTACTATAATTTGCTATTATTTTTGCTCTTGAGGTTATTTATGCTGATCATATCTATATGGTGGAAGTATTATATAATGAGCACCTTTTCTCAACTCCATGTTCAGTGACATTATAATGGTAGCTTGAAATCAGCTGTGGGGCAATATGTATACCATGTAAATTGGCAAACACCATAATCGGGTTTTACCTACTCACCCCCCACAACACACACTCCCAGCAACCTCTCAAGGGAGAGAGTGTGTGTTGGAAGCCACTAAATTAAAGAGGCAGAGTTTGTAGGTCCTCCTATAAATGAAGAAAAGCAGCACAAGCTGGTTTAGATCTGACGAAGGGTCCTAGAGCTATGCCATAGCAGAATACGAGTTTTAAAGTAAATGTCTAAAACTTAATTCATTATTTCATGACTTTTATAACCTTAGAGTATTATCTTTAATGAATTATTTATAAAATAAATGCCTATTTTGAAATTAAAAACAGATAAGTCATTTGAACTTTGGAGTTTTTTAATGAATATTAAAATGTTTCAGACATATAGAAGTAATAATTTGAATTTTAACAGATAATAGTAATATAATAATCTAATGTTCACTCCGAGGATGCATTATAATGTGAAACAAATAATTTACCTCTGACTAAACTATAAGTAGTGGAAAACCACTGAAAGTGACATGCAAGATTAATTTAGAAAGGGCAAACTGGTGACTCACAGTAGGTGCTCAAAACACAAGAGGTTTTTGTAATAGTCCATGGAAGGCCTGAGGTAGTCTATGTCAGTACCAACTTCCGAAAACATAGTCAAGGGAGGAAAAATTGGATGTGGTGATGGACAAGAAAAAGGTACCAAAATAAGTCCAAGAATCTGAACATGTGTGACAGTGAGAGAGACTACATCCCTGACTGCACCCCTACTGTTCCCTACAGCTCCCCACATTGGAGAGCTTATTAAAACTTAGGTGCTGGTGCCCCACCTCCAGAGTAACTAAGTAAGTTTGGGGTAGGGTCCTAATTATTTGCATTTCTGACTAGTATGCAAATGTGGGCACTGCTGATCTAGGTCCACAGTTTCAGAACCACTGCCTTACAGTAATACTCTTTGTTTATTTTGCTAAGGATTCAATGACATTTCTTTGTTATACCAGCAGAGGGAGACAGGTATAAAATTTATCCTCTAAAAATAAACTGCCTTATTCTACAAAGGTGCTTGGAGTTATGATATTGCCATGGAGACTTCTGAAATATTTTGGAAAGCAGCATGTGAGTTGGCATCAGGTGAAATATTTTTCAGGTATTTATATAAAAATTTATTTTGGTAGGACGTCCAGATTCCTACAAGCCATAACTTCATGGTTAAGACTTTGGAGTCTGGAGTCACAGAGATTTGCCACTTACAAGCTATGTGACTTTGGGAAAGTTAGTTATCTTCTCTGATCCTGATTCCTCATCTTTAAAATAGTCCCCCACCCCTTATCCTCAGGGGTATAGTTCAAGACCCCCCCAGTGGATGCCTGAAACCAGTGGATAGTACCGAACCCTATATATACAAACATATCGTTCACTTAAAAGAAGCATTCTACGGCTTCTCTTTGGCATATCTGATTTGCCAACATCACTCCTCTCGAGCTCTGGAGCCATTATTAAGTAAAATAAAGGTTACTTGAACACAAGCATTGCAATAATACAGAAATGCTGCAGTCTTTCCGATAGCCAAGACAGCGACTAAGTCACTAACGGGCGGGTAACTTATACAGCTGTGGGTTCGCCGAACAAAGGGATGATTCACATTCCAGGAAAGATGGAGCAGGATGGTGTGAGATTTCACCACACTACTCAGAATGGCAAGCAATTGAAAACTTAACAACTGTTTATTTTTTGAAATTTCCATTTAATCTTTTTGGGTAGTATTTGACAGTGGGTAACTAAAACCTGGAAAAGCAAAACCGAAATAAGTAGGGACTACTGTACTTTATAGAATTGTTAGAGGGCTGAAAGTTCTTGGAACTTTAGTTGGTTATTATTAAAATATTAATACTCTAGTTACACTCAGCTCTTTCGCCTAAAATTTAGAAATAGTGCAGATATGTTGCTATGTTTGGTTTTGAATAACCAGTGCTCCTGTATTCAAGTAAAGAATTGAAAATGTCTAGAAGGTAATTGTTTTGTAAATCCTAATCTCCCCATCCGCAATACCAAAAACAGGTGGGATTTTATTAACATGGCTGGCCCAGAGAGCTCTAATCTTCATTTGATCCCATAGCCTTCAGTTCCCAAAGGTAAGCGTGTTTCCTGGCCCTTGAGCTCTGAGATGGAGTGAAGCAAGTGGATACCGGCTGGGTCTTGGAGGACACTTACAGAGTCGGGCCAAACCAAGCACAGTCCAGCTAGCCTTCCCTCAGAGTTGCCATCTGCTGGGCGTGCATTTGTGTGAAGTGTCGCTATCAGCGAGCCTGTGTGTCGGTTCGCGTGCTTCACCGAGTTCGCGAACTTTGCGGGTGCCGACCGCTTCTCGCGAAATGACACACCTGTTCGTGACCGCATTCTTAATTGCCAGACCCTGATATTGGCTTTATGGCGTCAGCCGGGGCAGCTTGTCCCTGGTGAGAGAGCCCGCTCAGTGGAGAGGTGACGTTACGAAGGCGTGTCCGGGCTCCGAGGAACAGTGGACGGAGTCTTCGGGAAGGTGTGCGGGGGGCTGGTGGG